ATGTGTGTTTGCAAAGCTTTTTCAGGGGGGATTTTGGGGAGGGGGCTGCGGGTTGGGGCAGCTCAGTACCTCCCATACAGCACGGGCAGCTCCTCCCGCAGCTCCCGGTTCAGCTCCTCAAACACCGCCTGCGCTCTGTTGAACTCCTCCTCAGCCTGTGTGGGTCCGGAGCGGTTATGGGGGTTAGGGGGGATGTCAGTGGGGCATAGCCCTCTCCCGGAGGAGCTTGTACCCACCTTGGCAATCTTGGCCTCGTCCTTCTTCTTGGCGTTCTGCAGTGCTTCCAGGTGGTGCCGGGCGCTGTCGTAGTCCACCAGCTTGCGGCTGCGTTTGGCGATGCGCTCCTGAGTGGGGCAGAGGCCTCAGAGAGATGGAAAAGTGCCGTGCCGTGCTGTGCTGGGCCGTGCCATGCCGTGCAATTCTGTGCCATGCTGTGCCATGCCATGCTGTGCCATACCATGCAATTCTATGCCATGATGTGCCATGCCACACCATGCTGTGCCATTCCATGCCAAGCCATGCAATTCTGTTCCATGCTGTGCTATGCCACATCATGCTGTGCCATGCCATGCAATTCTGTGCTATGCTGTGCTATGCCATGCTGTGCCATGCCATGCAATTCTATGCCATGATGTGCCATGCCACACCATGCTGTGCCATGCCATGCCATGCCATGCAATTCTGTGCTATGCTGTGCTATGCTTGCCGTGCTGTGCTATGCCACATCATGCCATGCCATGCCATGCCATACCATGCAATTCTGTGCCATGCTGTGCTATGCCACATCATGCCATGCCATGCCAACGGCCACTCTGAGCCTTTCTGCACCATGCTATGCCATGCCATGATGCACAATGTCATGCTGTGCCATGTGTCACCTGAAACCACATGCTGTGCCATGCGGTTCCATACCGTGTTGTTGTACCATGCTGTGCTGTGCCATGCGATGCTGCACCAGGCCGTGCCATACCATGCTGTGCTATGCCTTGTTGTGCCATCCCATCCCATCCTACACCACACTATGCCACGTCACGCCGTGTTGTGCCGTGCTGCACTTTACCATGCCATGCCATGCCCTGCCACACCACAGCATCTCTTCTCATCCCATCCGACCCCATCCCATGCCATGCCGTGCCACGCCACTCCATGCCACACAGTCACACCCCACGTGCCTTAATGTCCCCAAACTGAGCCAGGTAGTTCTCCATCAGGCGCAGTGCCTGGTCGCCCAGCTTCGCCTCATAGTCTTCCCAAAGCAAGTCGTTGCTCTGCAGGAGGGAAAGGGATGGGAATCAGGGACGTGCCGGGCTCTGTCCCCATGGACTCATCCCTGTGACCCCAACCCTCAGAGGACAGCAGTGCTCACGTCTGCGATGGCCTTCAGCTCCACATGTCCGTCCCATTCGGTGCTGTAGATCTCCTGCAGTGTTTCGGTCACTTTTCGTGAGCTCTCGTGCATCACTGCAGGGATGGGGGGGGGGTTGCAAAAGTTGGGATGCGTGGTGAGGAAATGCAGCACGGGGCCTGACAACCCCCCACCCTCCACCCCCCCCCGGATGCTCTGTGCTTCACTGCCCATGGTGTGCAAAAGGAGCATTGCTCTGTACCTTTCACTGCGCCGACAAGAGCCTTCAGGTCTTTGTAGAGTTTGTTGCCTTCATTCTGTAAAGCAATTGTATTGGGGGGGGAAGGGGGCAGGTTGGAGCCCCTGGGGTGGGGATGCCCTCGAGCCCCAAGAGAGTGTGGGGAGTGGGGGGGGTGGAATGGGATGGGGGTGCGTTGGGGATGGGACAGTGATGGCATGGCGATGGCACTGGGGTTGGATGGGGATGGAGCAGGGATGGCATGGGGGTGGCACTGGGGTGGGGATGGAGCAGGGATGGGATGGAGGTGGCACTGGGGTTGGATGGGGATGGAACAGGAATGGCATGGGGGAGGAAATGAGATGGGGATGGGAAGGAGATGGAATTGGGGTGGCACTGGGGAGGAATGAGGATGGGATGGAGATTGCATTGGAGTGATGGTGGGGTGGGATGGGGATGGAAAGGAGGATGGTACAGGGAAGGGATGAGATGAAATGGGGATTGCACCAGAATGGAACAGGGGCGGCACAGGGATGGCATGGGGAAGGTACAGGAATGCCATTGGGATAAAATGGGGATGGAGTAGGGATAGCATGGAGGTGACGTGGGGATGGTACAGGAATGGGATGGGAATGGTACAGGGATGGGATGGGAATGGTACAGGGATGGCATGGGGATGGCACTGGCATGATGTGCGAACGGAATAGGGATGGAATGGGGGTGATGTGGGGGTGGAACAGGAATAGGATGCGGATGGTATGGGAATGAAATGCAGATGGCATGGAGATGGAGCAGGGATGGAGGGGGAGAACTTGCAGATGCCATGGGGATGAAACAGGGGCGGAATCGGGATGGTATGGAGATCGCATAGGGATGGCATGAGGATGGAATGGGGATGGTATGAGGATGGAACAGGGAAGTCACAGGGATGACATGCAGACGACATGGGGGCGGCACGGAGTGACCCTCTCCCCCCAGTCCCCTCTGCTCCCTGGTGCCACCTGCTGCAGCTGGAAGTTGTTTGCGCTCTGCTCAAACTGCTCGTCTTTGGTTTCCACGGTTTTGCCTAACTTCTGCAGAACCTGGGATGGAAAGGGGAAGGCGACAGCATGGAGAGTGGGCAAAATGCTGGAAGAGCCCCAAAGGATGCCCAGGACCTGACTGCCTCAACGCGGAGCCCAACTGAACCGAGCTGTGCTCAAGGGATGCCAAACTTCTGCGCATCCCTTAATGCTCTTCATTTTTAGGGGAAATTTGTGGATTCGGGGAGCCAAACCAACACAGTGTGTCCCCAGTCAAGACTGCCTTCATTTGTGAAATCCGACGGATGCAGCCCTATGCTCCCCACAGCACCACTGCATTGGGATGACATGAGGATGGTGTGGGAATGGAACAGGGATGAGATGAGGATGGAACAGGGGTGGTATGGGGGTGTTATGGGAATGGATGAGGAATGGGATGGGGGTGGTGTGGGGATGGAGCAGGAATGGGATGGAGATGGAAGAGGGGTGGGGATGGTGTTGGGATGGAACAGATTTGATGAGGGTAACAGATTTGGTAAGGGGGTGGAACAGGAATGATGCAGGGATGGATCATGGATGGTATGGGGATGAAACAGGGATGGAACAGGAATGGCGTGGGGATGGTATGGGGATGGAAGAGAAATGTAACGGGGATGGTATGGGATTGGAACGAGGATGGTGTGGGGGTGGAACAGGGATGGGATGGGGATGGTGTGAGAATGGAAGAGAGATGGGTCGGGGTGTCATACAGTGGGTGAATACTGATGCAAATGAAGCCCTAAAGTGCTGCCCCAGTGGGAATTGGTGACACTGCTGCAAGGAGGAAGAGGAGGAGGAATAGCTGTGGGTGAAGGCCACCCCCATGTCCTCACCGCAGAACCACGGAAGCGTGTCCTGGGCTGATACGGTCACGGAAGAGCTGAATTTAGCCCTAACCAGGAACTGTGGGAGCTGCTCCTTCCATTGTTGGGGTTGAAATGTCCCCCAGCCACGGCCAATCGCCCCATTTCAGCCCACTTCCGCAGCCCTTCCCCCCACTTCCTGCCATGGGCTGCACCCGCACTGCGGGGCCATCCTGACCCTGGGTTCTGTTGGCCCTGGGGGACTTGGGGACAGTCCCATAGAACCCCGTTCCAGCATCACCCACCCCATGGCCTGCACCACAAGTACTTTTGGGGAGAAAATCCCACTTTTATGAAGCATTTCGGGGGGCTGTGAGGAGCAGCTTGCAAAACTGAAGCCTTGCAGCACTGTGGGGCACCCAACCGGATACCCTGTGAGCACCCATGGGAGGAGAGAGGTGCATGGCGAGCAGAGCCCATCGGGGCTGCCCCCCCTCACCCTGCAAAAACCCAACCAAAAAATGCAAGCTGAGGGTGGTGAGGCCATGCCCTACCTTCTCCTGTGCCCGGCTGAAGTGCTTCTGGACCTGCTTGGCGAACAGCCCGGCCCCGCTCTTGCCCTCAGCCATGGTTGCTGATGGCTGCAGGGTTCTGCTTGCAGCATCAGCTGTGGTTTGGTTTCTGCTGCGGAAGTTCGAAGCGATGCATCCGCTGAGCTCCGGGCACCCCCGAAACACACAACCACGGGGTGGGACGGGAAGGGGAGAACACACAGCCGAGCCGCGGCACTTCTCACCCACGTTTCTGTTTTGAGTTTCAATTTTGCTTTTGGACTCACTTCTGCAATTCTTTGCTGTTTGTTTCCCACCTCGAGCGCCATCAGCCGCTCACCAGTGGGGCGCGTGGTTGTGCTTCGACCCTGCAGCACCAGGAGAGGTGATAACAGCACCACATCCATCCCCTCTCATTCACTGCAAATGAATTTGCTCTGGATGTCCTCAAGCCCAGCGGGGGGTGTGGGGAGCACGAGGCACTGTGGGACATGGGGGTGGCATGGGGAAGGGGTTGGGGATGGGGATGGTGTGTGGGGTGGAATGAGAATGGGGATGGGATAGAACATGGATGAGCTGGAGATGGAATGGGGATGGGGACAGGGATGGGATGGGGATGGGGATGGGATTGAGGGTCTACAATAAGTCCTTCCCCTGACAGCTTCCTGCTCCTCAGGGGAGCAGTTTTTCCCTTCTTTCATCCAAGGACACTTCGGCTTTCCAGGCCTGGTTGTTTTTTCCAAGAGTATGTGCAAGGCAGAGGGGGGCCTGGCCAAAAGGAACCTGACAAAAAGGATACTGCAAATGATGAGATTGGAGAAGAATTGCATGAACACAGGCAAAAGAAGTGGGGCAGGGCATCCCCAGCCTTGCTGAGGAGAAACAACAGCCAGCACGTTCTCGCTGAAAAACACAATTTATTGATGCTAGCTTTGAGACATAAATGTCCCCAGCTGAAATGCTCTATGTCCACACTCACAGCTGGGGTTGGGGTTCTCCTCCTCCTGCTGCTTTGTTCTAAGAGATCACCTGGAGGGAGAACAAGGAGTGTAACCCCACAAATCCACAGCACTCCCATTGAGTCGCTAGCATGGCCCTAATGGGTGCTGCACACCCCACTGAGTGCTCCATGCCCCATTGGATGCCCTATTCCTCGGGTGCTCCATTCCCCATTGGATACTCCATCCCTGTTGAGTACTTCACACCCCACTGGATGCTCTATTCCCCACTGGTTGTTCCATTTCCCTTGGAGTTCTCCACTCTCTGTTGGGTGTTCCGCATCCCACTGGGTGCTCCATTCCCCATCGGGTTCTCCATTTCCCCTTGGGTTCTCCATTCCCCACTGGGTGCTCTATTCCCCATTGGGTTCTCCATTCCCTATTGGGTTCTCCATTTCCTCTTGGGTGCTCCACGCCTTCCCAGTGGGTGGAGAAGCCATGCAAGCCCCCTTTGCACGACCCCACTGGAAAAAACAAAACCCTTCCACCCCGTCTCCTTACGCTGGATATCCAGGAGATGTAGGCAGAGACGCGGGTGAAGACGGTGGGCTTGTTGCGCGTGTTGCAGCCCAAGCTGGAGACGAAGCTGGTGATGCCGTGCACTTGGTACACCCCATCGACTGCACAGTTCAGGGGGCCTCCCGAGTCGCCCTATGGAGGGGCACCCATCAGAGTGGGGCTGTAACAGGGCTGGGGGTTGAGGCAGTGAGGTGACAGGGCTGTACCTGGCAGCCGGCGCGCACGCCGTCCCCGCCGGCACAGATCATGGTGTTCTTGACAGTGGAGCCCCAGTAGGAGAGCCTGGAGCAGGTGCTGTAGCTCACGACGGGCAGGTACGCCTGCTGCAGCACGCTCGACAGCTGCCCATTGGCTGCAAGTGACCAAGGGTCCATTAAAACCCATAGATCCCATAACACCCCCAAAATATTTGCACGGCAGCATCCAACCTTGAGCATCCCATAGAACCTCTGAAAATATTTGCACGACAACATCCGTCCCACGAGGGACCTCCTCCCGTGTCCAAAAGTGATTAACCTCCTCCATTTTCCCACATCCTTAATGAATTTTCGTGAGCCCTGTAAAACTCCTCAACATTTTTTGCATGACCTCATCCAACCCTGAGCATCCCCACGTCTTGTAGGACTTCAACCCACTTCCAAAAAGGATTTACCTCCTCCATTTCCCCATTTTGTTAGGGGATTTTGGTGAGCTCTATAAAACACCCCAAAATATGTTCATGACCGCATCCAACCTTAGGCACCCCACAGAATCTCCCCAGATATTTGCATGACCACATCCATCCCTTATAGGACGCCTTGTAGGACTTCAACCCACTTCCATGATTAACCTCTCCCATTTTTCCCACATTTTTAGTGAATTTTAGCAAGATCTGGAAGACCCCCCCAAAATTTTGCATGATCGCATCCAACCCTGAGCATCTTCATGTCTTGTGGGACCTCAACCCTCTTCCAAAAAGGATTTACCTCCCCTCTTTTTGTTTTCAGTAGATTTTGATGAGTCCCGTAAAACCCCCCCAGTACATTTCATGATCCCATCCAACCATGAGCATCTCCTTGCCTTGTAGGGTCTCAATTCACTTCCAGAAAGGACGAACCTCCCCCATTTTCCCACATTTTTGGGGGATTTTTGTTGATCCCCACAAAACTCCCCGTTGCATTCGCACCACCAAATCCGTCCCCATGCACAACGCCTCGTGGGACCTCAACCCACTTCCAAAACCTGACAAGCAACCCCAATTCCCTAAAATCTTCAGGCATTTGGGGATGAGTGTCCCTGGGATGCCCGTGTCGGTGGCACTCACTGCGGGTCAGCCCCCAGCCGCTGATGTAGCAGGGGTAGTTGTTGGACAGCACTGTGCCCTGGCTGGGCAGCACCGCCAGCTGCACGTAGCTGTTGAGCGTGGCAGAACCCGACAGGCGGAGCAGCGCGATGTCGTAGCTGTGGGGAATCACAGAATCACAGCATTGTAGGGGTTGCAAGGGACCTCCAGACATCATCGAGTCCAACCCCCTGCCAAAGCAGTTCCCTACAGCAGGTTGCACAGGTCAGCATCCAGGCAGGTCTTGAACATATCCAGAGAAGGAGACTCCACCACCTCCCTGGGCAGCCTGTTCCAGTGCTCCGTCACCTCACTGTACAGAAGTTCTTGTGCACATTGGTGCAGAACTTCCTATGCTCAATTTCCAGCCGTTTCCCCTTGTCCTGTCTCTGCTCACCACTGAAAAGAGTCCATCCTCGCCATTCTGTCCCCCACACCTCAGATATTCATAGACCTGGATCAGGTCCCCTCTCAGCCTTCTTTTCTCCAGGCTGAACAGACCCAGATCACTCAGCCTTTCCTCATAGGAGAGATGCTCCAGGCCCCTCACCATCTTTGTGGGGAGGATGCGCAGGGCGCTGTAGAGCACCTGGAGAAACCCCCATCTCCCTGCAGCTCTCCCTCCTGACGACCCCCCTCCCCGGGCGCGTTACCCAGCTGCCACGTTGTTGGAGTTCCAGTTGGGGTGGATGTAGATGCTGCTGACGCTGAAGGTCTGCTCGGTGCCCTCGCTCTGGTAGATGTTGTGGTCACCGGCGACGACGCGGTAATTCAGGTTACTGCAAAAAGAGCACAGGATCAGGACCCACGCTGCCATTGCTTCGAGGGTTAACGCAGCAGGACTGAGGAAGTGACTTGGCTTTGATGAACAGACTCAACGGAGAATAATCAAATCCCGTTTTTAACTCAGTGTTCCTCATGTATACATTCATGCTTTCTGTGTGTGTGCAATAGAAACTTATAATTCTTTATTGACACCATAGACACAGGGATAGAAAGGAGGAATAATAATGCTACGGTTCTATGATCTTTCAGGACCCTTCCAGCCCAATATTCTGTGGTTCTATGATCTTTCAGGACCCTTCCAGCCCAATATTCTCTGGTTCTATGATCTTTCAGGACCCTTCCAGCCCAATGTTCTATGGTTATGGTTCTATGATCTCTAGGGGTTCTTCCAGCCCAACCATCCTATGGTTCCATAGTGAAGAGTCATCCGTACAAGAAGATGCTTGCAGGGATCATTCTCCTTACTGGAAAGATCAGCAAAGACCCCCAGTCCTTAACAGAAAGGACTGACACTCTCTGGGTGGGGACAGCTAATTTTCTCTTTTTTTTTCTTTTTTTGATGGAAAAACGGCATTTTCAGGAGACAGTGGGGCTCCCACGGCTGCTCACCTGTCTACGCAGTGGGCTGCTGTCATCACCCAGTTCTGTCGGATGAGGGACCCTCCACAGGTGTGGTGCCAGCTGCCCCTGGAGTAATACTGGAGGGAGATCTGGGGGGAAACAGCACAGGGTGAGATGTGGAAACGGGAGCTCCCAGGGGGTGGGAACACAAAGGGGACAGGAAACCCAAAGGGGGTGGGAGACCCAAAGGGAAGAGAGCCTGAAAGGGACAGGAGACCCACGGAGATGGGAGACCCAAGGAGACAGGGATAAGATATCCAAGGGGATGGGAACTCCAAGGGAACAGAAGAACCAAGGGGATGGGATACCCAGAAGGGATGGGAGCCTGAAGGAGATGGGAGCCCTGAGGGGATGGGATGCTCAAGGAGATGGGAGATCCAAAGGGATGGGAGACCAAATAGGATGGAATCCCACTGGGTTCATCACCAGTCCCCAACACAACCCACCTGTGAGGGCCAAGCATGTGATGGAGCCTCGGTCCCCCCAACCACACGTTGCATCCCACCAGAACCCGGCTCTGCATGGCATCCTGTGGGGAAAGGACAGTGACAGCCGCGCGCCCATTGCTCCCTGGAGCCCCAAATCTGTGAGCTCATTAGCAGCTAACGAGCCCTGGGCACAGGAACTCACCACACAGTGCGAGGGCAGCGAGGAGCAGGATCTGCAGCATGGTGACAGCGTGGCCAAGACTTCACCTCACGCTGCTTTATAGGGGATGAGGACGAGGTATGGGAGCCCCACAGGTGGCCTGGCCCTATCAAGCAGCCTTGGTCCCTTTTCCAAAACACACATGGCCATGAAAGTCGGGAGCCAAGAGCTAAAAGTAGCCTCAATGCAAGCAAGCTGCAGTAAACTCGTTTATTTTAATCCATTTTTCACAATGGGGGCAGGATGTGCTCACCTGGCTTCAGCTATCAGCACAGAGCACCTGCACGGCCATATCTTGACTTCTGGGGGCTCAGGATTGCCATGGGTAGAATTGGGCTGTGCCTCTGCTGTGTGTGCCCTTCTGTGCTGATGAAAACAAAGAGGTGATTAATCAGAGACAATTTTTCCCCATGAAACCTCATGTTTTCTACCTCTGTGTATTTGTTGAGCTGAAATATTTCGGTCTGTCACAAAGAAACTGACTTTTGGCAAAATGAATAAAGAAAAAGGAATCCAGCCCATGTATATTTTCTGCCTGTTAGAAATGAATGGAAGCTGTTCTGGGGTCCTTCGGCAATGGCACGCTTCTGGCAGGGCGTAATCCAAGTGAAGGGTGGACAGTTGGGTGGAGGAGGGGTTGGTTGGATGGTTCGGGTGGTGAGGGGTGGCGACCCCCAGGCCTGTCTTCAATGTCTTTAACAGGGACATCAGTGGTGTGCCCTCAGAACGCTGGCAGATGGCACCGAGCTGAGTGGTGCAGCTGGTATGACAGAAGGAGCTATGAACCTATGGTTCTGTGATCTTTAAGGACCTTTCCAACTAAACCGTACCAACATTCTATGATCTTTCAGGACCCTTTCAATCTAACTATCCTATGGTTCTGTGATCTTTAAGCAAAATTCTAACTCAATCAGCCTATGGCTTCATGACCTTTCAGGACCCTTCCAA